TGATGATATCTGGTTTTAGCTACATTTTTTTTAAGTCTAGTAGCATTGTGGCCAATTTATAGAACATTTAACTGCATTCAAATTTTAATTCGCGAATTATTCGACGTTTAAGAACGCAAAATGAATGACAACAGAATTCGAAGCAGATACACAGTCTGTCCCCGGATAGGGGAAACGACTCTTGTAAGAGATAAATAAATTACGCTCTAAATTAGCACTGCTTATTAGTTAAAAACTAATTTCTAACATAATTTTAGTTTAAAAAAATCAGGTATACGTTGGAAATTAAAAAAAAAAATGTTTTCTCTAAAGTGCTTTTTTTATGTAGCAATTCATTGAATTCTTCTAAGAAAACTCTTGTACAATATAAAAATATCTCGCTCTAAATTTGCATTTTTTGAGATTTAGCACTGTTTATTAGTTAAAGACTAATTTCTAACATAATTTTGGGTTCTTCTAAGAAAACTATCATAATACAAGAATTCGTTAGAAATTTGATTTAGTTAATCCTGAAATTTTAAAGAACTAAAACTTTCTCTTTTTGGCAGAAATTACTAATCGGGTTACTGCTTCTTCTGGTGTTGCTTCCATAATTGGTGCAAAAACCAAAAAAATTTTGTATGTTGGTATTAAAAATAAGTATTGTCAATATTGCAAAAATTATTCTGACAAAAATATTGACATACCACCACATGCACATGCACCACATGGGAAGGCACATCGACAGCGATTTCCGGCTAAAGGAGTAACAGGAAATCTGATTGATACTTAAAGAGGACTATCTTATCGATATTTTTGTGGATTCTGCAATTAACTGCATTTGGGCGAAAACGACCCTCAAAAAATCCAAATTTGAATTTGTGGGGCTAATGTTAATAAGAAACGAACTATCAAGTCATTGTTGTCAAAGGAAAACTTGTCATAATTTGACTTGATAGTTCGTTTCTTAGTAACGCTAACCTGGTAAACTTAAATTTCGATTTTTCAAGAGCCACTTTCGCCTAAATAGAGTTAATAGGAGAATTGACAAAAATGTTGATAAGATAGCCCTTTTCGAGCACTACAAGCTCCATTAATCAGATATTWATTTCTATTACTCCTGSAACCGGAAAAAAATAAAAACTAATTTCCCATGTTAATTTCCTATATCCAAACCTGCCTGGGACAGCCGGTATAAACGAATTATAGGAGATGGTGATAGTAGTGTTTATAATAAAATAAAAAATAAAAAAAACCATATGGCCCGGATTATTATATTGAAAAAATCGAGTGTAGAAACCATATCTTGCGAAATTATTGTAATAAAATTATTGGCATCACTAGTAAATTCTTCATGGTACTTTTAATAAAGGAAGTTGGCAGTTCCGGTTTTTTGAATTAATTTGAAAACAATGTCATTAAACGTCAACACAAAAAATCGAAAATTTAGAGACGAAACACCAAAAAAGAAACAAATTCGGTACACTAACAGGTTTTCGAAATTTAGAAACGAATAGTTCGCAAGCAGGAGTTTAGAAAAAGAGCCCGTTAAAATGTTGACGCAATTTTGTAATGCAGGTTTGCTAAACATACTCAATTTTTAGCAA